TGATGCCGAATGCAGGAAGATCACAGGCCAGTGGGTGGAACATCTTGTGGATCCAGTGGCGTGGTAAGCATCTCAGCACTGGCAGGGGTCTCCACATGGCTTCTCCAGCTCCAGAGGTCTGGCTCCATCAGTCTCTCCCCATGTGTCTTCTTCACAGAGATGTCTCATAGAGAGTGAGCAGAGAGAGTATGCCTCCCGTCTCCAAGGAGGAATACAGTAGTTCCCAGAATCTTCAGATGCCCACACAGAGGCCTCATGGGCTGTATCCTGATTGACAGGCTAGACTCTACCCCACACTCTTAATCCTCAAATTGACACCAGCTTATGTAACTACCACACTGTCCAACTCTCGTGTGCATACGAGGTGATGGAGAATACCGTGGTGTGGGTCAGGCACACCTTAGTCCTCAAAGTAACATCCTTGTTCTTCAATGCTCTAAAGAGGGCTTGTGCAGCAGATTTACCTGAAACAATGCGCCTTTTGATCTTGACTGCTGCTTCCATGGAGATTGCTCGTGGATCCAAGCAAGAGAAAAATCCTTGGAAACTTAAATCTTTTCTCCATTTATCATGCATGACGTTACTTTTTGGTCCAGTGGTGAGGATTTGGGTCTTCTTGGCATTGAATCCATACGGAAGGCTGCAATCGTTGGTCTTTACCGGCCAGTGCTTTCAGCTGCCAATCCCTCCTTGCTTTCAGCTGGCAAGGTTGTGTCACCTGCATGTTGAATGGCAGGAGCTTGGTGCAGAGTTTACCTCCACCTAGAGTGGTTTGGGAAGCACCCTGGTGTGATAGGTGTTGGCGGCATAACAAAGCAGACTCACTTCCCAAATGCGATTGCCCTGGCAGATGGCCGGCTCACAGTGAGTCCACAGCACACGTTTGGGGACGTGGATGATGACCATCGCATCCTCCCACAGTGCTGTCAGGGTGTTGCCATTTCCTTCTATGGTAGGGGGCGCCCTTCATGATGTCGGGGCGGGCATCATTCTCGTATACCCTGATGCCTTCAGGATTTGGGGGTGGTGGTGATGTGTTCATAGATTAAGAGCGAGCTCACGTGATGGATGGCCTGGGGTGGGGGTGAGGGTAAGGCCAGCTCATATGGGGGCCGGAAGTGAGGGCTGGGCTAGTAATCACCTTCAACCTTCTGCCCAGG